ATGTTCCCTAGTTGGGTCATGAAATGTCTGCAAGAAAACCACCAGGCTCAGGGACCCCACAGTCCCCCCCTCCTCCTCCTCCTCCTCTTCTTCTTCTTCTTCTCCGCAAACCCCACTCCCTTCTAGCCCTGATGATGTTCCCTAGTTGGGTCATGAAACGTCTGCAAGAAAACCACCAAGCTCAGAAAACACCAAGGACCTCTTTATTTCAACCAGCTACAAATATTTTGTTTTATAGGGAGTGGCTTTCCATGTATACTTCTATGTAAACAGAAAGCAAACCTCACTCCCTTCCAGCACTGATGATGTTACCTACTTGGGTCGTGAAACGTCTGCAAGAAAACCACCCAGCTCAGAGGGCACCAAGGACCCCTCATTTCAACCCCGAGCTAGAAATATTGTCTCCTATCTCTTCTAGCGTTACAGCATGACAAAAACAGATCTTCCACTTGTTGCCTTCAAAAGAACAGTTATTTCAGGAACATCTACGTGATATTCCTGTATATATTCCAAATTGACATTTTACTGGAGGGACTCGAAGTCGGTTGGCCCTCTTGGGACGGTAATTCCAATTCCGAGACTCCTTCACTTCTTATTCACTAATAATAATAATAATTAATATACTACTATATCTTCCGCTGCTGCCTTCAAAAGAACAGGAGCCTCTAAAATGGTAAATATCTCCCCGGTTGTCCATCCAACGTCAGACAGGATAGGATCAATTCAATTAACACCTTCAACTCTCTTCCCTGCTGCTCTCCCAGCCCACCCACGCCCCCCACCCTCCTTTAATCAGTTAACAAACAGTCTTGTGAAGGACTGCGTGTCTGTCAATCCAATTATTTCCTATCTGGGATGTGAAGACACTCCATTAAATACAGCAGACAGATGGCCCTTTCACCGATCATTCAGCTGAACTGATTAGCTACTTAGGGGGTGCAAAATTCGATGCAACTGGGTGTTAGGGATTGGAAAACTCCCGAGGACAAACTTCACACCTGTGCGGTCACTGTGTCCAGCACAACAACAGGGTGAAGATTGGGGCCGAGCTCTCTGCTCCAGCCAATGCTACACAACTCAGACTGAAGGATGAAGATCGCTGGGGTTGTTTGGATAACTGACCGCTTGTTAAGCTAAATTTTATCCATTTATGTCCCACCTTTATTATGTTTACAAATAATTCAAGGCGGTGAACAGACACAATACATTTTCCTCCTCTTATTTCCCCTACGACAACAAGCCGGCGAGGGTCACTTGGCTTGAGAAAGAGAGAGTGACAGGCCCAAGTCTTTCAGGCCTAAAGTGGGACTAGAACTCCCTGTCTCCTGGGGACTGGCTCAGAGTCATTCAGCTGGGCTTTCATGCCTAAGGCGGAACTAGAACTCACCGTCTCCTGGGGATTGGCTCAGAAACACTTAGCTGGGCTTTCATGCCTAAGGCGGAACTAGAACTCACCGTCTCCTGGTGACTGGCCCAAAGTCACCCAGCTGGCTTTCATGCCTAAGGCGGAACTAGAATTCACCGTCTCCTGGTGACTGGCCCAAAGACACCCAGCTGGCTTTCACGCCTAAGTTACAAATAGAACTCACCGTCTCCTGGTGATTGGCCCAAAGTCACCCAGCCGGCTTTCCTGCCTAAAGTGGGACTAGAACTCACCGTCTCCTGGTGACTGGCCCAAAGTCACCGAGCCAGCTTTCACGTCTAAGGCGGAACTAGAACTCACCGTCTCCTGGTGACTGGCCCAAAGTCACTAACTGGCTTTCATGCCTAAGGCGGAACTAGAACTCACTGTCTCCTGGTGACTGGCCCAAAGTCACCCAGCTAGCTTTCACGCCTAAGGCAGAACTAGAACTCACCGTCTCCTGGTGACTGGCCCAAAGTCCCTAACTGGCTTTCACGCCTAAGGCAGGACTAGAACTCACCGTCTCCTGGTTTCTAGCCTGGGGCCTTAACTACTACTAGACCAGTCTGTATCTCAGCGAAGGGAGGACAGGTCTGAACACTGCAAAACGGATGTTCAGACCAAAGACAGCCTACTCCAAGGAGTGACTCAGAAAGATGGGATAAAACAACATTTTAAATGCCAGCAGCAGCCGCTAAGCTCGCTCTTCCAGGCCTGTGTCTATCCAGAACCCTGACAACAAAGAAATCGGCGCACCCTTTACAGACGCAGGGATCAGATCCCCAGGAAAGCAACACAAAAAGTCACCCACCGACACAGATTCTGCACTCTTAAGAAACCACTTGACGTTCCAAGCGAGGCTGCGTTTAAGCCAAGTCCCGTTTTGAACCTCCATCAAGCTCATTATTAAGCTGGCGGGGAAAGGCAGCTCCGAAGGGGCGAACAACATTGTGTTTTCAAGAGGGAGGGTGAAACACCCCATTAAGGCGAACAACTGAGCCCCCCCCCACATAGCGAGGATGTGTAAAGTTGGACACAAACCTCATCAATTAAATTTTACTGCAGCCTTGGGAGGAGTCAGGTGCTAACGCAACGCAAACAGTTACGGCCCCCGGAGAGGCCGGGATATTTCTTCAAAACCAGGCAGAAAGAAAGATGACGGAGTACAGGCCCGCCTCGACAAAATTCAGATTGCTAAGTGGGACCTTTGTTAAGTGAGTGTTGCCCCAGTGTACGACTTTCCTTGACACCTTTGTTCAGCGAATCCCTGCAGTTCTTAAGTTAGTGAAATTAGTTTTCGCTTGCCGGCAGTTCGCAAAAGGGGGCACCATGACCCCGGGACACTGCGACCATCCTAAACGTGAGTCAGTTGTCAAGCTGGAATTGGGAATGTCTAATTTAATGAAGAGAAGGATGAGGGGTGACATGATAGCAGCCTTCCAGTATCTCAGGGGCTGCCCCAAAGAAGAGGGAGTCAAGCTATTCTCCAAAGCGCCTGAAGGCAGGACAAGAAGCAACGGATGGAAACTAATCTAGGAGAGAAGCAACCTGGAACTGAGGAGAAACTTCCTGGCAGTCAGAACAATTAACCAGTGGAACCACCTGCCTCCAGAAGCGGTGAATGCTCCAACACTGGAAGTTTTTAAGAAGAGACTGGACAGCCATTTGTCTGAAATGGTATAGGGTTTCCTGCCTGAGCAGGGGGTTGGACTAGATGACCTCCAAGGTCCCTTCCAACTTTATTATTATTATTATTATTATTATTATTATTATTATT